TCCCCAGTCTAATCTCTCTGCCCACTCTCCCAGCCCCATGATCATTGACTTTTCCAGATTTACCTTCATCCCAGTAGCTCTCCCAAAAGTGTGTACAACTTCCCCCAAAAGTCCTAACCGTGTCTCCTCACTTACGAAAATAGTGGTATCATCAACATAGCCCACCAAACCAGGCCACGGCTTCAGCTCACCATCCCTCCCCCCCGTCCTTAGACGATCCTCCACCATCCTATAAAAGGGATCTTGAACACATGCAAACAATATTTGTGATAAAGGACATCCCTGCCGAAGACCCCGCTCCATGTTGACTCCCCCCCCACACACCCATTGATTTGCACCCTTACCTTTGCGTTTGAGTACAACGTATCCACCCACTCCACTATTTCTTCGCCAAACCCCTGTCATAGGAGAATATCCCTCAAAGCCTTTCTTTCCACCCTATCATAAGCCCCTTGCCAATCCAACGCCACCAACACCCCTCTTCCCCTTTCCATGTCCTCCAGGAACCCCTTGATAATCCCGTGGCCCTCGTCCATTGACTACCAGGTAACCCAAACTGAGACTCAAACACGACCCTCCCCACAACACATTTAAGCCGATTCCCAAGAATTTTCGCAAATAATTTATAATCAGCACAAAGCAACGAAATGGCTCGGTAATCCCGAAGGGTACTCTGCTGTTTACCCTTTGGGACCAACACCACCACCGCCATTGCCTGAGATTCTCCCATCTTACCTCCATCTTTCATGGCATTCATTAACCTTACTAGGAAACCCCCAAGCAGACCCCAGTGCTGTACATAAAATTCGCTTGGTAAACCATCGATCCCGGGTGCCATACACTTCCTCATGTCCATAAGGGCTCTCCATATTTCCCCCTCCTCAATGACCCCACCCAGTGCCTCCCGATCACTCCTCCCCAGTTTGCACGGCACATACTCACATACCTTCCCAAGAACCTCGCCATCCACCCCACTACTTTTCCCGTATTCCTCAAACCATCTATCTGCATATGCACTCATCCCCTTGGTGTCCCTTAATACCTGACCCTCTCTAAAACCCCCCACAGAAGATATGACTTGCAAACCAGGTATTGTAGTCGTTCGCTGTCGTACCTTCTGGCCTCGCAGCACACAAGCTGATGGCTTGTCGCCCCAGAGTACTTCATCCAACCCCGCCTGTACCCGTACAGCTGCAAAACGTTCTTCTTGCAAATCCCGTACCCTGTCCTTCAACATGTGTATATCCTCCACTGGGTACACCCCGGCCACCGCCCCCCCCTCGTAACAATCCCGTAATCTAGATTCTAAATAATTTGACAAACCATACCGCAATTGATTAATGCATTTGCCCTCCCTCACATAAAATTGACGTATTCTTAACTTAGCCACACTATCCCACCATCCTACCACATCTTCCTCAGTCCTTCTGTCGGCACAGAGCTGTTCCCAAAATATTGCAAACGCTTCCACTCCCTCCCTATCCCCCAAAACCATCGTGTTCAGTTTCCAATAACTTCCCTGCCTACGAGCCAAAGCATCCCATCCCACCTCCACTAATACTGCCCTATGATCGGAAGACACCATCTCAATAGTTTTAAAAGACTCTACCAAAACCCTCTGAGATGAATATAACCTGTCCAAACGAGCCGCATATCCCCTTCTTATAAACGTATGTTCCACCTCCCACAGACCTCCCCCGAAAGCATCACATAACTGAAGATCTCTAAGCAGGCCCTCCAAGACTGAGGAAAAATATCCCGCTCCTCTGGGTTCCACGTCTGTCCTCTTAATTACACAATTCCAATCCCCCCCCACAATCGCCACAGACGGTAACGTGCGTAGGTAGTACACGAGCTCCTCCCGCACAAAATCCATCTTCACTTTCACGTCACTTTCTGCTGGGGCATACACACACACAAACGCCACTCTCTCTCCCATCCACCATCCTTCCACACGTAATACTCTCCCCCTCCCCCCTCTTTCCTATGCAATACAAACGGGCTCGCCTCCCTGATCAACACACCCACTCCTCCTTTTAAACGCTCAGACGGCAACACATAAGCCTGATACCCAGGCACCACTAATTCACGACCAAGCTTAAAATTGTGCTCCTGCACAAAAACTATGTCAACTTTGTACCTATTCAAAAACATCCTGAAGCACTCCCGTTTAACACCATCACACAGACCATTAATATTTATTGTTACACACCTGAGGCCAGTTTAAGGTTTCCTTCCCCGCCTCATGTCAAGATTCTTCCCTTTCAGACCGTTCCCTGGACTGTGCCTTTGCCACAGACTCCCCCCTCCTTCCCAACCATCCCCCCCCTTCTGTTGTGGCCCTCTCGCAGAGTCACTCTGGGTACCATAACCCCATGTCTTTTTCCCCGGCCTTTGCGCCGGCGTCAGAACATCGTCCGAATCTGACGTGCGCCCTTTTCCTTGTAGCTCCCTCAGTTTCCATATCTGAGTCCTGGGAGCCAGCACAATGGACTTCCACCTCTACCACCCTTAATCCGCCTCCATGTCCTTCCATGGCACTCGCACTGTCCACCACAGGTGCCACCTGATCCTCCCCTTCCCCACACACACCTTCTGCCCTGATCCCAGGTTCTTGTTTGCTGTAACTCTCCACCTCCGTAGACTGTAACATAGCCTGTATCACCGTCTCCAACTCCTCCTCAATAGCCTTCACTGCTGCGCCCTCCTGCACCTCCTCACTTGACAACTGTACTGTTGATGGGCCAGGTGATTCATGGATCACCACTTCTTCCGATTCCACAGGAGCCACCACCTCTTCACTCCACATGCGACCACGCCCTCCTCCTTGCACCCGTTCTTCCTTAGACATCGGGTGCTCATGCGCAGGTGCTCCGCCCCTTGCCGGCCCAGGAGCCACTGTTGATGGGCCAGGTGATTCATGGATCACCCCTTCTTCCAATTCCACAGGAGGAGCCACTACCTCTTCACTCCACATGCGACCACGCCCTCCTCCTTGCCCCCGTTCTTCCTTAGGCATCGGGTGCTCATGCGCAGGTGCTCCACCCCTTGCCGGCCCAGGAGCCATACTCCGCTTGCCACAGTCTGCCGCCATATGGTCATATTAGCCACACAGTCGGCACGTACGTCTCTGCCCCGCATACGCTACCATTACCTGGGTTCTAAACTCTTCGAGATATACATATGAGGGTATAGGATGCCTTAGCGTCATTTTGAGATTAAAAGAACCCTCAGGATATCCTGTGTAAGCACCTTTTACCCATTTGCCAGGTTGGGCCAGATGTACAGTTCCATAACGTTCGAATACATTTCGAATATCTACCTCATCAGCCTCAAAAGGCACGTTGCGGAGCTTAACCCACGAATAATGTCGTGATACATCCGTCAACTTGACCCTCACTGCCGGTGTTTCGTTAATGCTGACATCTTGGTAACGATCAACCAAAGCCTCGTATACTTGAGCAGTTAGCACTTTCACGAAAATTCTATATACACCGTTCAGTGCCACTCCATATAAATCCTCGTCTCTGATGCCGTATGTCTCTCTTATAATTTTAGGCAATAACACATCGACTGACGTAGGCGTTAAAGCCCCACTAATGAGTTCAATGCCCACAGTATTCACTCTCCTGCGCACACCTGGCGCCATGTTGTTGACTGAGTAGCTCGTCTGGGAAACAGTAGAGGGGTGCAAAGCACGACCGCACTCTACCTCATCCAGGCAGCGAATGTACCCTCCAAAAAATCCCTAATGCGGCCATGCCCATCTCTCATGCTTCTGCCCAGAATACCCATCTGCCCCTTATGAATAACCCCACCTAACACCTTCTTCATCCTATTGCCCTGTATCTTCGCGAAAATCTTGTAGTCGGCACACATTAGCGAAATAGCCCTGTACTCACTCAATACTCTTCCCTCTTGCTTTTTGCGTACTAATACGACTACACCCGTTCGCTGAGTCTGTCCTAACTGTCCCTCCCGTCGCATACAATTCATGACCTTCACCAGACAGTACTTAATGTGCTCCCATTGAATTCTATAAAAATCATTTGATATCCCATCTATACCCGGCGCCTTGCCAGTACTCATGTTGAACACACAACTAACTACATGATAACCACCTGGTGGTTCACAATTATACTCACCCACTGACTATAAACCCAGAAATACCAATCTTAATCTTAAAACAATAAATCCTAACTAGTCATAAGCTTGCCTATGATGCTCCAATATAGACACTTTATATTGTGCCAAAACAAAAGCATTCACATTGCTAAACTCACAAATTATGATGTAGTCACTTAGCCTGAATACCATAATCTGTAAGGATTTAATGTTAAGAATTAATCTAAGTCTGCTCGAAATGCCTAGCCATGCTAGGTGTCGAAGTGCCCCCCTCTGTAATTACTATTTTATAACATGTAAACCACACAATACCCAAAACCTGTAAACCCCACAGTGTAACCCTTATAGAGAATAAACTTGAATTGAATTGAATTGAATATTTAGGTGGTTTTTCGTGGACATATTCCAAGCCGACGGTATGCTCAGAGATGTAATCTAGTATTTCAGAATTGCTCTGCATTGTGCTTTATTCTGTATATCTGAGGTTCACAGAGACAATATAAAGAGTGTGGCATGTTTTGAATGATAGGTTTTTGTGTTACGTTTAACGTTTTGCTGTTATTCAAGATTATCATACTCGAGATTAGCATACTCTTGTTATCAGTATCCCTGTCAACTACTGTGTATACTTAACAACCAGGTGTTATGTAACGTCTCATTTGCTCACAACAATATTTCAAATTTTATTTTCAAATTCATTAACATTAAAAAACGATTTTTGAGTGTCTAAAATCCTAGCCACTGGTAAAAAAAAAAATACTATGTATCTAATATTTTCGGAACACTAAAAATAAGTTTACTGTGTCTGCTAAATATTCAACTTTTACTTCAACAACAAATACACAAAAAAGTAATTCAGAATAAAGATTACTTACAAGTAAAGAAGAGCCAGTAGTAGCAGCAGCTGGGATATTCCACTTCCTCCCTTCATTGTTGCTCTAGTCTCTACCACGAGTCCTGAGAGAAAATTATGAATTCAGCAGAACTTATAATGAGTAATGTTGTGGTGTAATCTCGTGTAGCGGTGAGAACACAAGTCGTGGCTATATGACAAAAACCATTCCTGACATTCACCCTAGGAGTGAATGTTAGGAATGGCTGTTACCTTCTGTTTACAGTATTTTCTCTTCACTCTCCTACTTCAGTCTTTGCCCTCTACATGTTTGTCATCGATCTTATGGCAAAACAAAACAAAACAAACAAAAAAAAAAAAACGGTAGTGGAGATATCATGAATTAGTTGATATTAGGTTTCAATGATAAGTTTTCCACAATATTGCACTACAAGTGGTGGTTGGGAGTTACTCTTCTGGTGTGTACCGCTGGTCAGGTCAGCGGTACACACCATCTGCTGTTTGTCTTTGTATATACCGAACACTGAAACTTTACTTTAATTCTCATTTTATGGATAAATGTGTTGTGGTTGTTACATAAGATGGTAAGAACATTCGAATGATGGAACGATGCAGCAGACTTACTGGCCCATACTTTCCAGATTTTTTTTTTTCAAAGTTAACAATTCTCACTCATGTTTTTACTGGAACTGTTTTTTTAAACTAACCATGGTAATAATGTTAATGACAATAATAACCAAAGCCAGGAATAGGTTACTGTCGCTATATTGTATTGTATTAAAATTAAGATTTTGCTTCCGAAGCTGCTAGTTTATTGTACACCCTGTATCATCCTGTGGACGGTAGTGCAACAGTATATGGATAAACACAAAACCTAGGAACTAGGCCCAAAAAGGGTTTACAGGAGTACATCTTGGTTTATATCTATAGTTCACTTATCTGTTACAAGCAAATTTAGGAGATTTCTTTAATATATCTGGTATCTTATTTTCAATAAATAAGATATATTAACATATCACATAGGCTATTATAGCGCTTATCTTCATATTCCTCAATAGGTGGGCAATAAAGCACATAACGTTCAAGATAGTGACCATAGGGTTGGCTATATACTTTGCATTTGGTTTGATCATCTGTGTCTGCCAAGCTGCCACAAGTACTTGTAACTAAGCATAAACGTGGCCACTACAACATCGGTCGGTCTGGAGAGGGTTTCGGGGATCAACGCCCCAGCTGGTCCACCAGGAGACTTGTGACCAGGTCTCCTGGTGGATCAGGGGTCTGGTAAACCAGGCTGTTGCTGCTGGTCGCTAACAAACCGATGTACGAGCCACTGTCTGGTTGATTAGGTACTCACTTTAGGTGCCTGTCCAGCGGCTTCTTGGAGATAGCCAGGGGTCTATTAGTAATCACCCTTATGTATGCTGGGAGGCAGTTGAACAGTCTTCTGCCCTGACACTTCCTGTGCTGTCTCTTAGCGTACTCGTGGTTTCCCTGCTTTTCACTGGGGGGATGTGTCTCCTGCCCAGTCTTTTGCTTTCGTAGGGAGTGATTTTCGTGTGCAAATTTAGGACTAGTCCCTCTAGGATTTTCTATGCATATATTATCTTTTATCTTTCTCGCCTGCGCTCCAGGGAATACAGATCAAGGGACTTCAACCGTTCCCTTCAGCATTCCTATAACTTTCAGTTTAATTTTTTACTTCTCTCCTAATATGCCTAATGCTAGACACAGATACACCGAAGTTATGTTATGGAATGTCTACTTCAATGATTGTCTTGAACTCATCTCAGAATCTCATGCATAGGCAATGACTGAATCTAACGTTTACGTTTTCAAGAGAGGAAATGCCAGCTGGTCTCAGTTACATCAATCACCAGCTTACAGCTGTATCAGTCTGGGAAAAACGATAGCATGTTAAATTGGCTTCTGATAAAACACAAATGATGATGGTCTCTAGGCACCATGAGGTAAGAATGTGGTAAGAATGACTGGGAGAATGCTGGAACCCGGGGATAACGTTGATATGTTTGGAGTGAAATTTGGTTTCAAATTCACTATGAAAAATCCACGATGTAAAACTTGCAAACAAGGCTGCCAGTATCTGCTTGACAGTAGAGGCTGCAAGATTCTGTATGAGGTCCAAGTGTGCTCACACCTTGAGAATGTTCTACTTTCTTGGATTGCTTGCCCCATCTCATCTAAGACTGCTTGATAGAATAAAGAACAGAACAATACGACTAGTCTCTCGTCTGGACCCAGCCAGGACAGATCAGTCATTTCAGCAGAGCTTTCAGTTGCAGAAGAATGTGGATGGCCTTACTGTTATGTATAAGGTCAATGTCATCAAGGTACCAAATTTGGCTTCACGAACAGTGAAAAGACTGATTCTATACAACAAGACGTGTAGCTAGCAGCATCTACTCTTTGGTTGTACCCTCCTGAAGAACATAATTTCCTCTGAGATCATACTTTCCTAGAATGACTCAAGTCGGGAACATGTTCACACAACACAATAACATCGATGAAGTAAAGTTAGTTGACCAAATGAAATCGCTGTCCCACAGATGACTCCAACTTCATCTGATTCCGCATTTGTTTGTCTCATAAAAATAAATGAGCTGAAGCAGGTAATAGTTTTTAGCTTGTAAAGAAAGATAGGACTCGTGACATATTATAAAACCACTATGTAAATAAAGGAGAATGTAAGAAAGAGAAAGAGAGATAAGATAAGATTTCGTTCGGATTTTTAACCCCGGGGGGTTAGCCACCCAGGATAACCCAAGAAAGTCAGTGCGTCATCGAGGACTGTCTAACTTATTTCCATTGGGGTCCTTAATCTTGTCCCCCAGGATGCGACCCACACCAGTCGACTAACACCCAGATACCTATTTGCTGCTAGGTGAACAGGACAACAGGTGTAAGGAAACGTGTCGAAATGTTTCCACCCGCCGGGAATCGAACCCGGGCCCTCCGTGTGTGAAGCGGGAGCTTTAACCACCAGGTCACCGGGCCACCAAAGAGCAGGATGGGGGAGAGGGATACGACTTTAGTAACGTTTACTCCATACTCTATAACACTCATTGCCATCTCTTTAACTTTCAAAATGCCAGTACTGTCAACAAATTTACTTATTTCACAGATGCTGTTTAGAATTAGCTGTTATCACTTGCAGGTAAGAAATACCTGCAAGTGATTTGAAAAGACACTGTACCAGAACCGAAAAAAATTCTAATAAATATGTCTTTGCTTTTGCTCAGGTGTATTGAAACCATCACTTAAAACACAGGTAGTTTTATGATTTCTGAAATACTTGCCAAACGAATCTTTCGCTAGCATAATTCAAGCAACACCTACGTATGTCCTGCAGCTGGTGCACCACCTGACTCCACTCACTACATAAACTCTGTTTTTCTGTCCTCTCTATTGGACTGGAAAATCATGTGGATAGCAATACATCTAAATAAATGTACTAGTTACTGCATATGTGTCTTTCTCACATTCTTGTCGAAGTTAATCACCGTTTGCTACCTCAGAGAGAGAGAGAGAGAGAGAGAGAGAGAGAGCGAGAGAGAGAGAGAGAGAGAGAGAGAGAGAGAGAGAGAGGAGAGAGAGGAGAGAGAGAGAGATCCTATATACCCAGGTTGACTCGAGTATGGAACACATTCGTACAGCATAATGGTGTCAACGAGATAAAGTCAGTTGATCAAATGAAAATGCTGGTCCACAGATGGCTCCAATTTCATCCTGTTCCCTACTTGTATGTCTCATAACAATAAAAATGCTTTCAAATGAGCTGATGTAGGTAACAACTGTTAGCTTGCCAATAAAGTTAGGAATCCTTAACCTGTAAATAGCTTGTCAATAAAGCTAGGGATCCTTAACCTTGTCAAACCCTGTGTAAAAGAGAGAGAGAGAGAGAGAGAGAGAGAGAGAGAGAGAGAGAGAGAGAGAGAGACAAACAGACAGAGATATGGAATAATCAAAAGTATCATAATTTCCCTCTCACACCAACTTTCAGGCCCTTATCTACGGAACAGATTAATAACACAGTGTATACAGAAACCGACGACTAATTTATGAATCATTGCCTCTGTTACAATGCTGTGTGCACCGTGTTCATTCATAAGTAAATATTATTAATTACGTGGAGGAGTCACCACATATCTCCCTCAGAACCGTAATTCATTTCATCTTCTATGCTTGTGAGCTCTCTGTGAACGTAATGAACAATGCCGTGTTTTGAGCAGCTGTACCAGCAGGCTAAGGAGGAGTTGGAGGAAACCAGGAGATACGACTACTGACTGAAGAAACATGAAGATTTGTAGTAATCCTCCTGTGTTGAATCATCAGGACAACTAACGAAGCTGAACAGAGTTAGAGCAGAAAGGAACGAAGCTAAATAACAAAAGGAAGGATGCGAGAGGTGGAAATGGGTAAGAGTCAGGAGACTGCTATTTAAAACCTTCAATTCGTTCTCCGTGCTGTCTGACGAATGTGGGTCGACTACTGGATTTGCTTTTCTGGGCTGGGATGGAGGATATTGTTAGCCGTCTTGACCGCATTATGAATGGTAAAGGGATTAATCCTATTATTTGCCTCCGTGCTGCAGGGAATGATGTGGCAGGTGAAGAAGTGAGGATTTGGTCAGGAGATATAGGCCAGCAACATTCATAATTAGGTGGAAGGGGAGGGCGCTCTGTAATATGTGACATTTTACTGAGAAGAGGAAATAGAAATGAATGGCTGTCCATGGCAATTGATGTTAACTGCTGACTGGACAAACACTGTAAGGATATTGCAGTACCATTCATTGACAACTGGGACCACTTCTCTGGCAGAAATGACATGTATGCCAAGGATGGTGTTGATTTACCTAGAGCTGGGATGAAGGCATTAGATAGCTCAGTGGAGGGAGCTGGTAGGGCTTTAAACTAGAAATAGTTACAGGTATGGAGTTCCATGAGAAAACAATGAAATATGGTACAACAGAAGTGGGCAGTGTGTCTTCTGGGTAGCGATATTGTGATTTATGTAGATATCGGCTGTAGGCAGATTGAGGTATAATTATTGGTTAATATTGGAAATTCGGTGGCAGTGGGTGATATGGAGACCAGCAGAGACAGTGGAGGAGTGGGTGTGAGAAGAGAGAAGAAACTGAAAAAGGGTTTCCTCATTACA